AGTCCACGTGGGATGCTGCAGTCCACGTGGGATGCTGCAGTCCACGTGGGATGCTGCAGTCCACGTGGGATGCTGCAGTCCACGTGGAATACTACACCGATATCATACATCTTAGTATATGTATTAAATACCTGAATACGTGTGTGTGGAGAGAATGTATACACGTGTGCTAAAAGCCTGTAGGTTGTGTACATTGTATACATGATTGACGACACGCTTTACAAACCGAGCCTGTGTTGCGAGAATAGTTTGCTGCTTGCGAAGGTTCTCAGTAGTCCAAGGTTCTTAGAACTGTTGGATTATTAGAAGAAAAAGCTTTACTTAATAAAGCTTGACGGGAGCGATGATGGCGGCAATGGCAGTAGTTAGTGGGACGACAGACCGAGAGGTAGCAGACAGAGCGACGACAGACAGATAGACTGCAGACAGTAATTAGAAATCATTATCAATGTTGCGAGACAGACGAGACTGATCAACAGCTCACTTTTAAAACAGAAGTTTCCCCATAATTTCAAATGTGTAAAAATTTAAGAAAATTGTAATACAGAATTTTTATGTTTATTTAGTATTTAGAAATTCTATTCAAAGTTCCGACCCCTCAGGGGGGACTTCTGACGCATGTCTGTGCGCGTCAGAAGTCCTATGGGATCTCGCGCTCCTAGGGGGATTGATCCTGAGCGCCCCACCGCTGAGCTCGTGGTGTCTGACTGCAGGTCTCAGTTGTGGGGTTAAGTTATTATGTAGGTAGGATTCCTTACATTAAGTTATTATGTAGGTAGGATTCCGCCTATTTGATGATGTTCATCTTGACTTTCGGTGCGAAATAGCTAAATAGCTGAAGCGCTAGTAAACATCTGGCCATTAAACTAACTAATTAACTCAACGTTCTGAGACAGACGAGATATAGATGCACTGCTTGATCCTAGTATTAAAATTTCTTTAATATTTCTAAGCTTTCAATTCTTAATACCATTAAAATATGAAATTTATAGTGAATTTTTCCGTTCAATAGACCGTTCTATTATTCGTTTTTTGACCTGAAATGTTTCGATTCAAGGGATTAATCTGCGCGTTGACGTGTATCTCTGAGCAAAATTTTTAAATTTTTCTCACTAAAATTTCACACTAAACCAATATATAATATATTTATGACTCCTTCATCATAATATTGACCTAAAAATAACTTTCTAAATAATGACAATGAATTTAATCCATGACAGATACAACCTTGCTCACAGGCGAATAATTTAGAATTTTGCTAATCATCTAGCAAAATAAGATCCCAACCTGAAATTATGAGGACAATCCTGCAAAACGCAGCCTGCCTGCTACCCCTCCTACAGCTCCTGCACCTCCTGCTGCTCCTACAGCTCCTGCAGCACGCTAGCGCCGAGGGGAATACCACCAACTGGCACTGCAATTTCACACAGTCGGAAATTCCCACACAGAAAGAGGTGGGTGGGAAACAGATCTTCGTGGGAGGGTTTAGATGTCATGGGGGTGCATGATAATGGGAGATAACATAATTATATTTAATTCACTAAAATTATTATCGTTTCCAGCATTAATTACCATCCCTTCGAGCAATAAATGTTTAAGTAGCTATGTTAGAGTTCGATGTCATGTGGGGGTGCATGATAATGGGAGATAACATAATTATATTTAATTCACTAAAATTATTATCGTTTCCAGCATTAATTACCATCCCTTCGAGCAATAAATGTTTAAGTAGCTATGTTAGAGTTCGATGTCATGTGGGGGTGCATGATAATGGGAGATAACATAATTATATTTAATTCACTAAAATTATTATCGTTTCCAGCATTAATTACCATCCCTTCGAGCAATAAATGTTTAAGTAGCTATGTTAGAGTTCGATGTCATGTGGGGGTGCATGATAATGGGAGATAACATAATTATATTTAATTCACTAAAATTATTATCGTTTCCAGCATTAATTACCATCCCTTCGAGCAATAAATGTTTAAGTAGCTATGTTAGAGTTCGATGTCATGTGGGGGTGCATGATAATGGGAGATAACATAATTATATTTAATTCACTAAAATTATTATCGTTTCCAGCATTAATTACCATCCCTTCGAGCAATAAATGTTTAAGTAGCTATGTTAGAGTTCGATGTCATGTGGGGGTGCATGATAATGGGAATTACGGAATTATATTTCATTCAATAAAATTATTATTGTTTCAAGCATTAATTACCGTTTATTCGTGCAATAGATGTTTTAGTAGCTATGTCAGAGTTCTCATGTCGACGGAATGCTGCAAAGAGAGCAACATGAATGCCCTCTGTAACGTGTATGCAGCAGCACGTTTAGACAAATGTAGCATTTTCAAGAACCTTCAAAGAACGTTTCTGGAAAAAAAAACTATCATGAAAATTTGTCCAGAAAAATAAATTGTTTACGAAGGATTCTATGCCTTCATGAAAATAATTTGCATTAATTTGAATTTCAATTGATTCATCAAAGCTGTCGTTGATGGAACAGAAGCGAAGCTCTATAGACGTTTTCTCTTCCCTGAAGAATGTACAATCCCAAAAAGCGATGTCTGATCCAGCTGCTTACATGTGTAGTTTATAGCCCAATGTTACGCATGCAGCGTTGTAGGAAGTAAAACTGTGTGCCTGCATCATTGCAGGAAGCATATTATGTGTTAGCATCATTGCAGGTAGTGCAGGAAGAGTAATGTTGTGCTATCATTGCAGGAAGTGTAATGCTGAGACGTGCTATCATTGCAGGTGGTGCACGATGTATAATATATACGTATACTGTGCTATCATTACAGTAAGTTTAATGTTGAACTATCATTGCACGATGTATAATATGCTGTGTTATCATTGCAGGTTGTGCAAACGATGCTGACAGAATACGCCAAGAATCCTGACATGAATTTCTATCCGCGAATTTCAGTCTACAGAGAAATGAGTCACAACATGGATTGCGTGAGTACAGTGCGTGGTGCGTGAGTACAGTGAGTGGTGCGTGAGTACAGTGCGTGGTGCGTGAGATTCGATAGAAACGCGGCATGTGGCTGGTTTTAAACGATAAATAAAATTATTTAAAATATGGAAAATTACATGCCATTGTTTTTAAAAGCTAGAAGCCTTTATGTGCTTGGCTTATAAGAAGCTAGTAACCCCGCGAGTGATTGGCGTCAGACAAACTTGATAACCAACAAATGATTGGCTTAAAGCGAGCTAGAACTCTACACTTGAATTACAGACAGGAACACGCCATGTGATTGGCTCTAACCTGAAAACATTGAATAATAAATTATTGGTAGTACGTCAGAAACACACATGTGATTGGTTCTAAGCCGGAATCCATATTTGATTGGCCGTATCAGAAACGCATAGTATGAGACTAGGTGTAAGTCGGAAATCCCGTCATGCGATTAGCTTTTATCATGGGTGAGTGGCATGTGATTGGCCGTTATCTAGAAACACGGGCTATTTGATTAGCTGATTGGCTGTTTGATTAGCTGATTGGCTGTTCGATTATCTTATGGTGAGTGGGGGGCCGGGGGGATGGTCCACTTATGGTGAGTGGGGTAAGCAATTATCATGAGTGGGGGATTTTGTAACTCAGTGTTGCATGAGTGGCATGGTATAGGCGGCCAAACGGAGGCCAACCTCACGTCGGCCATCGCTTCCGGCCACTTCAGCGTCATTCATTACTCGTACATTAATTATTATTAATTATTATAGCCCAAATCTTTGCCGTCTTTTTGAATTACTTCTTAGGAATACCCAAAATTATTTCCATAAATAATTTTGTTGTGTCTTTGAAACATGAACTTCGATATTTTTCGATGTTATTTACATCTGAGGTAAATACGGCGTATTTTAATTGTTAGTTGAAATTAAAAATTTGTAGTGTACCGGAAACTTGTTCGTCGTAATTTTCATTAGCTTATTGGAGTTTATATACATGCTTTGTTGGCAATCCCTTTTCAACCCAATCACCCATATACTCCTCACTCCCTTCATCCCCCATCACCCCCCTCACCCCATCACCCCCATCACCCCATCACCCCCATCACCCCA